GAATTTACAATGTTTCGGGTAAACTAATACAGAGGTAACAAAAGAAAAAAACCTCCCATATCATCTTGGGTTATCTACTAACCTCCTGAAGCATGAGATTTGATTTGATTTGATTACCTTTATTATTAGTTTTGCCTGCCTACCTAAAGATGTCATTAAAGCTCAAAGTGGAACACAGCTAATTTAGCAAAAGTTGATTTGTATTTCTCCCCCTGCGAACTTGTTTTCTCAAATATAACACATCTTTGCTCTTGCGAAAGGACCAGTTTCCTGAGCAAAATTTTCTATAGCCACTTCTCCATAAATATCACTTTGGTATCTGGAATTTTCCTACAGGTAAGAGCTTTGATCAAATGTTTGATCGTGCTACGAAGCATCTGTAGTACAGCAAAAGCCAGAGAGAACATTCTTGCCCTTTATGGGCTCCCGGTCTGGGATGGAGGAATTAACATCTACATCAGAGGTCGGCAAACTACAGCCTACAAGCCAAATCTAACTTACTGCCTATTTTGTCCCCACCCTGTGAGTTCAGAATAACTTTTAACTTTTTAAATCATTGAGAAAAAAAAAGCAAACTCAAAAAAGAATATTCTTTTGTGACACAAAAATTATGTGAGATTCGGATTTCAGTGCTCATAAATAAAGTTTTATTGGAACACCACCTCGCAGATTGTTTATGGCTGCTTTCAATTGAGTGGTTACGACAGAGAGAGTCTGGCCCTCTGTGGTAGGCAAAATAATGCCCCCTCCCCAGGTTTATCCCTGGAACCTGTGAAAATGTGACCTTAGACAGCAAAGGGGACTTGGCAGATGTAGTTAAGGTTACGGACCTTGAGATGAGGAGACCATCCTGGATTATCCAGGTAGGTCCAATCTAATCATATGAGCTCTGAAAAGCTGAGAACTCTCTCCACCTGGAGTCCTAGAAGGGTGACAGAGAGATTCAAGGTATGGGAAGGATTTGACATGCTTTTCCTGGTTTGAAGATAGAGGGGACAACATGGCAAGGAAGGAGTTTGTCCAATAGCTTTCCGAGAATTCAGTTTGGTAAGAAAAAATGAACTTGAACCACAGTCCAGTTTTTTCTTGGCCTGATCCAACATTTGGATATCCAGCCAAGCTACCTCTTTCCCCGCAAGAGAGCACAATTATAGTCTCTCATTATTCAGCTGGCACTACTAACAGATGTAACTGAGGGGAAAAAAAGTGTGTTCTATCCGTTTATGTATAGGCACCACTTCAAACACAGACTATTAATTTGTTTACTTATTTATTATCCATTCTCTTCAACTGAAACACATTCTTCGTTGGTAAGGGACTCTCTGTCTTGTTCATCATTCTCATCCCAGAGCCACACCTGGCACAAAAAAAGAGCTTGGAAAATATTTGTAGGATAGATGAAAACAGACTGCAGCCATTTGGATAAATACAATAAGATGCTGTAGGATATGTACGGACATAGGATTCAGGCAGAAAATGTCTCCTGCTCGTTTATATCTTGCTGGTCAAATAAGTCCATTTCTAGCTAAGATATATTCAAATCCCACTGATTAGGATAGTAAGGGTTTGGGGGAAGAGAAAGACAACGATAGAAGCTTGAAATAGAAATATGTAGGGGCACCTGGGTGGCTCAGTCGTTAGGCGTCTGCCTTCGGCTCAGGTCATGATCTCGGGGTCCTGGGATCGAGCCCCACATCGGGCTCCCTGCTTAGCGGGAAGCCTGCTTCTCCCTCTCCTTCTCCCACTGCTTCTGTTCCCTCTCTGTGTCTCTCTCTGTCCAATAAATAAATAAAAAATCTTAAAAAAAATTTTTAGAAATATGTAATGTGGTTCCTATTCTATTTTCAGAACACTTAAGGTAGGGTATTTAAACTTCAGGTTGAAGATAAACCTCTGGACCTGAATCACATGTATGATCCAGACTGTTTTTCAAAATAAAAATGAGGGGCACCTGGGTGGCTCAGTCGTTAAGCGTCTGCCTTCGGCTCAGATCATGATCCCAGGGTCCTGGGATGGAGCCCCGCATCGGGCTCCCTGCTCAGCGCGAAGCCTGCTTCTCCCTCTCCCACTCCCCCTGCTTGTGTTCCCTCTCTCGCTGTGTCTCTCTCTGTCAAATAAATAAATAAAATCTTTAAAAAAAAAAAACAAAAGAAAAACAAAGTAAAAATGGAAGCCAGTTTTTACAATCCTCTTTGTGGAAGCCAGTATGTATTAAGGCAGAAATAATGATTATAATGATTGATTTTAATTTAGCACAATTCTGTCTTTAATAAATGAAACCTTCTCTCTCTTAAAGAAATCTAAAATATCTCAGAGTGGTTGTCAAGAGAGGAGCGAGCTAAGCTTTGCAAAAAAAAAAAAAAGAAAGAAAGCGAGAGAGCATGATGTTCTTATGGGGAATTCTGAAGAGTATTAAAATTGACTAATTCATTAGAAGAGTCTTTTGTGAGCTTATTACAAGTTCTTCATTATTACAGGTCTTCCAGAAGAGCTTAAAGGGCTTTTGAATGCAAAATGAACACTACATCTTGCTTTGGTGTTTCCTAAATACCTGACTTTTTGAACATAGAGTAAGTAGATTAAAAAAAACAAAAACAAAAACCATACATATTTTCAGCGTTCCCAATGACTTTAAATGTTATTCTGTATGATCCAAATAGTTCGGCAATTTGTTTGTTGCTATTCCATTTGGTTCCATAAAATCTTTATCTCATACACAAAATATTTATATTAGCATGTACAAACATGTTTTGTTAACTCCTGACATACTCCAAGTTTACAATGCAATTCAATCCTTCTGGGATATTAGCACCCATCACGATCCCCTCATTCTTTAACGGGGCCGTGGTTTAGTGTAAAATCATGTAAATGCAAAACAACAACAACAGCAACAAAAAACACATCTCCTTTTTCCTCCTTGTGTGGTGGTCTTTGGGCCAGCTCCCCAGGTATCTGATTCATTTAAGGTTATTTGAAACCCCATCTTGAGTGGAAATCTTGCATCACCTCTTAAAAAGGTTTCAATTTACATGCCCCCCCAAATATTCATCCTCCTTCTAGTAACTGTTAAGAAAAATTGTACAGGAGTGAGAGACAAGGGAAAAAGGTAGATGTCACATCCTTTGAATATCAAATGAAGAAGGCTCACCCAAGGACTGTCTAGGGGAATGTACCTTGTTTGCTCACTTTATCATTCATTAAAAGTCAAAGACTTCATGAAGTTCTATGAGAACTTAAAGAATTTTGTCCTGTAGAGATTCAAATAATTTCTGTCCAGTAGAAAAGATAACCTCAGGGGTTATAGGGTTCTTTTGCCCTATAGGAAAGTTTTATATCTAACCCAGCTAAGTTATCCTTTATTAAACTACCTGTCCATATTGAGCTCCTGACATGCTCTTCAAACCCATCTTAATATCCTACTGGTTTCCACATTCATTAATGAGTTGAATAAAATCTTTGGCATATGTTCTTTTTATATGTGCACAAGAGTCATGATTTTACCTTTTTTGGAAATTATACTTTAGTGCCAGTTAATACCTCATGCCTCCACCTACAGGCAAGTAGGTTCTGGACCACCCCAATAAGAAAGCAGATTAGAGAGAACTTCAATGCAAAAAAAAAAAAAAATTACTGAGGTAAGGAAAAAAGATACCTTCAATCTTCGAAAAGGAAAAAAACAAATAAATCAATCACCATGGAAATGGAAAAGATTGGGTTCCAAAATCTCTGGGATCCTTTAGCTGATATATACTGAGAGCACTTCATTTCCTTTTTGCTCATTAAAAAAAAAAAGTGATCCCTCATTTTCCTGAAGCATGACTCTTAGTCTATCCCCATTTTCAAAGGTCGCCCGAGTCATGTTTCAAGCTTGAGCAAGCATTTGGTTATTACCAGATTATTATCACCAGTGTCAGTCAAGTGGGGATAAGCCATGTCCCCTCCCCTCAAGAAAGTCACGGTCTCAGAGAGAGGGCAAAGGAGCAGAGTGGACACAGGTCAGTGGAGGACAGAGGGATAGTCTGGAAGGATCTACTGATTTGTCTACAACTAGGAGTACATAAGTCTACAGTGAAAAAAGAGGGTAAAGGGTTCCACATGAAGAAGAGTTGCACCCTAAGGAAGAAAGACAGTGGGCTGAAGTCCAGCTGGATTTTCAATTATTTTTCTAAGAAATGAGAAAAGAACCTATGGATTAGGTACCCTTCCTTCAGAAATTATATTAAAGCCCTTAAGCCTTATAGCAGTTATTCGTTTAGCATTTTCTGAGAGGACCAAATTTGTGTTAATGTCTTTTTTAAGTTTCTTTTTTGTAGTAATCTCTATACCCAATGTGGGGCTTGAACCCCCACCCCAAGATGAAGAATCCCACGCTTTTCTGACTGAGCAAGCCAGGTGCCCCAAATCTGTGTTATTTTTAACTTTTTCAGTTAGTGAAGAGCAGTAACACACCCTTGAATGAAGTCGTTTTATGTGCTAAACTTTGGCCTTCTCTCCAATCGTGGGTGGTTGGGGATGGGGAACCAAGCCTCAGGGGACCTCCCAGTAAGACGGCAGCTTTGGAAAGGAGACCAAAGCCACCTGTGTGACATAAAGGGAACAGAAAGCCTGGGATCCAGTCTGGGGCAAGAAATGTCCCCTTGGGACACAAATAATGTGAGTCCACATATTAATATTGTATCATTGAGCTTGCCTCTCTGCCGTACACACCCCTCAAGCTGCCCATGAGTGACTCCTCCTCCTACTGCCTTGAGTTCGTTTTAATAAAACTACCTGTTCATTTGTTCTGATGTAAACGTATATGAGCTGGGGAATAAAGAAAAACACAAAATAGAAATTGCCCATGCCACCTCACAGAAGTAATATTCGGTATCTTGATAGAGGCCCTCTTTCTGTGTGTATTTTTTTTTTATACACCTGTATTCGTTTGCCAGAGCTGCCATAACAAATATCAGAAACTGGATGGCTTTGACAACAGAAATTTATTGCTTCATAGTTCTGGAGGTTAGAAGACCAAAATCGAGGTGCCAACAGAGTTGGTTGTTTCTGAGGGCTGTGAGGGAGAATCTGTTCCAGAACACTCTCCTTGACTTGTAGATAGCTGTCTTCTCCCTGTCTCTTCACATTGTCTTCCTTCTCTGTGTATCGGTGTTCAGATCTCCCCTTTTTATAAAAACAGCAGTCATATTGGATTAGGGTCCACCCTCATTATTTCATTTAAACTCAATTAGCTCTGTAAACACCCTATGTCCAAATAGGGTCACATTCTGAGGTACCGAGGGTTGGGATTTCAACCTATCTTTTTTGGAGGATACAATTTAATCCATAACGATCCCTGACATATTGACTGAGTGGATTATTCTCTGTTTGCATCCTATTTCTCACCTCTCAGTCTTGCTCTATGCCCAGGGGCTGATCTGGATGGATGACATCAATGGCCCCTCTTCCTCTTGCTTCCAATTGGGTTGAGCCAATAGAAGGCACTGGCTGAAGAACAGAGGGCAGAAGGAGGGTGAGAGTTGGTATTTATTTGCTCAGTTTCTCCCCTCTTTGTCAGACCTAGGGGTAGTAAGTGTTTCCCACTAGTCCGAGTGCCTAGAAACCTCAGCATCTCTTTTTGATCTCCTTGACCCTATCACCCCCCCCCCATTAAGTAGTCTGTTTATTAAACACTCCCTAGTTAAAACCTTTGGTGTGGCATAAATTTCCTCTCTGGAGTCTAATACTTAGACATACAAGATATTTTATATAGTCAGCATACTATTTCTTAAGAAAAAAATACCTAAACCTTTGGAAATAAGGCAAAGGGGAGGAGGCACATCTTCTCAGTGTTGTACTGGGAACATTGTATAATAGAATTATTTAATTCTCTAAGAGAATGTCTCTGCGTTTGACTTCACTATTTACTATTTGATTAAAGCCCAGACACTGTGAAGTTATATGTTAACTTGTAGATTATTTCTGTCTGGTACAAAAGATAACTCCAAAGGTTATGGTTTTATAGCCTTATGAGTTAATCAGTTTTATACCTTATGCAGTGCATTCTAACATTCTTTATTCATGCCTGTGGATACCCAGTTCACAAAATGCTCTTTGAACCAGCTTTACAATCTCACTGATGCCCTCACTAATGAATCAAATGGATCTCTGTTACGTGTTTAGTCTATATTTATATGAGTTTAAGCTTTAAGTGTTTGAATATTATGCTTTGACATACTTCACACAGTTTTGCATTGTATTTTTTACACCTTATTTGTCATCAACTAATTTCACTCAACCATTCTGTAGGTTTTAGGGATTTAGGTTACTTGTAGTCTTTAGCTATTATAAATAAGCATTGCTGATGATACTCACTTTTTTTTTTGAGAGAGAGAGAGAGAGAGGGAGGAAGAGGCAGAAGGAGAAGGAGAGAGAGAGAATTTTTTTTTATTAACATATAATGTATTATTTGTTTCAGGGGTACAGGTCTGTGATTCATGAGTCTTATACAATTCACAGCACTCACCATAGCACACACCCTCCCCAATGTCTATCACCCAGCCACCCCATCCCTCCCACCCCCCTCCACTCCAGCAACCCTCAGTTTGTTTCCTGAGATTAAGAGTCTCTTATGGTTTGTCTCCCTCTCTGGTTTCGTCTTGTTTCATTTTTTCCTCCCTTTCCCTACGATCCTCTGTCTTGTTTCTCAAATTCCTCATATCAGTGAGATCATATGATCCTTGTCTTTCTCTGATTGACTTATTTCACATAGCATAATACCCTCTAGTTCCATCCACATCGTTGCAAATGGCAAGATTTCATTTTTTGATGGCTGCATCATATTCCATCGTATATATGTACCACATCTTCTTTATCCATTCATCTATGGTTGGACATCTAGGCTCTTTCCGTAGTTTGGCTATTGTGGACATTGCTGCTATAAACATCGGGGTGCACGTACCCCTTCAGATCACTACATTGGTATCTTTGGGGTGAATACCCAGTAGTGCAATTGCTGGGTCGTAGGCTAGCTGTATTTTCAACATTTTGAGGAACCTCCATACTGTTTTCCAGAGTGGCTGCACCAGCTTGCATTCCCACCAACAGTGTAGGAGGGTTCACCTTTCAAGAGAGAATCTTAAGCAGGCTCGACCCCCAGCACAGAGCTCAGTGTGGGGCTCGATCTCACGACCCTGAGATCATGACCTGAGCGGAAACCAAGACTCCGATGCTTAACTGACTGAGCCACCCAGGCGCCCCCTGATGATAATCACTTTTAACTGTAGTTCACATGTAGGCAAATGTTTGTGGGAAGAGGAATGGTATAAAGTTTGCACTTGGCCTTCATCTTCCATATTCAAGATGGTACTGCCCTGCCTTCCTTCCCTGTCATACCTGCATTCCATCTCACTCCATTACAGGCACCAGAGTGTCCTTCTGGGACTTACAGTCCATTTGGGGCATGGTCTGAGCACACTCCTTGCTAACAATAGCACCTGACATGCAGTGAGTCTTTCCTATATACAGACAGTGCTAAAGCGCCTGATATGCATTATCTTGTTGGTCTTCATAACTACCAGTCAGCCAGGCCCTGTTATCATCTCCCTTTTCTCTGTGTGACAAGGCTAAGTTGGGATTTAAGCCCAGTTCCAACCATAAGGTCTGTGCTCCTAAGCACTGAGGTGGGAATTGACTGCAGAGGTATTAAAGACCTGAGTTGGTGAGTAAATGAATGGTTAAAGCCCTCCTGAAAGGACCACAGTAACTGAGTCTCACCACCTGGGCACAATGGTGGCTGGGGCTGCCTTCTAAGCCTTCTTCCTGGACCCTTCTAGCTTTTCTAGAGGGCTAGACAGTAAATATTTTAGGTTTTGCAGGGCAAATAGAGGGTCTTTCACATATTCTTCTTTTTTTAAAACCCTTCAAAAATATGAAAACCATTCTCTCATGGGCCATACAAAAACAGGCCTGAGCCAGATTGTGCCCATAGGTTTTAGTTTATTGACCCCTGTTCCAGGTCACTGACTCTCCCCATAGATTTGTCTAACCTTCTGTTACATCCAACCCCTGCATTCTTAATTTTGGTTATTGTATTTTTTTAGCTCTATTGAATTTTTTAGTTTAGTTTAGAGTTTTTATTTGGTTTGTTTTTATAGTTGCCAGTTGTCTGCCAAATTCTTAATTTTGTTTTTTATCTCCACAGGGAGAATCATTCTTTTTTCTTTTCTTTTCTTTTCTTTTTTTTCTTTCCTTTCCTTTCCTTTTCTTTTCATAGATTTATTTTAGAGAGAGAGAGAGCACTGGGGGGAGGGGCAGAGGGAGAGGGACAGAGAGTCTCAGGCAGACTCAGGGCTGAGCAAGGAGACCAGGACCCTGAGATCACGACCTGAGCAGAAAACAAGAGTCAGACGCTTAACAGACTACACCATCCAGGCACCCCAGGAGGATCATTATTTTAAAATCTGTGTCTCATAATTTTAGTATCTATAGCTTGTGTGCATCTGTTTCTATTTTCTATAATTTCTGCTGGTTTTAATTTATGGCATATTCCCTTCTTATGTGTCTCATTATTTCTTGTCAAATTCTAGACATTGTATTTCCAAAATTGTTTGCAGAAACAATTTGATGCACGGATGTTCCCCTCCAAAGAAGACTAATGTTTATTTCAGAAAGGTATCTGGGCATGCCAGCAGTTTGGGATGTCCAGAACCCCTAGTATACCAGGATTCACTTAGTCCAAGTGTGGTGATTAAGGTGATTCCAGGCTGAGTTATAGCTCTTGGGAGAATTTACTTCTGGTTATAAGATGCAGCCCCTTGGGGTAAAGACCCAAATCTTCCCATGTTTCCTTGACAGGTTCCTCAATTTGGCAAAGCTGTGAAAATTCTGCTCAGTTTCTCAGCTTTCCTACTAGAATTAGTATAAGTTCCCAGGAGAAAAACAGCTCCCTGGATTTCCTCCTTCTCCTAGATCTTGGGAAGGTACATCTAGTTAGCTCCCTAGCGCCTTCACACAGACTTTTTTTTTTTTTTTTTAATTTCACCCACCTTCTCTAGTTGTCCCGAAGTCATGTGTGTGGGCTAAATTCCCTAGTCCACCATTCCAGAAGTGGGAACCCAGAGATAAATTCTCTATGCATGTGAATTTGGTCTTGTTATAGAAAGAAATAGTTGAGAAGAGGCTTAAACTATCCTTCAAAAATTCCAAAGAAAACAGATCAAGCAAAGAAACAAATAAAAACCCACTAACACATACCTGCTAATTTAGTTTAAATGTCATATTTCAATATATAATAATTGTTGAAATCCTTAATAACCAAAAACATTTCTAGGTCATTATTAATTATCTGTTATACTCTAAAATCAACAAAGGTTGACTGTATATTTTGAGATTCTTATTAAAAAATTAAAGTTAAAAAACAAATGAAAATAGTTTCCTTTGTGAACTAATTTTGAACTGTAATTTTAACAGAAGGCTTCTTGAATGTAAAAGAAAAAAAAAGGATTCTATATTGAAGATCACTTTCCTCTACTCTACTGAATAAGGGCTATTCATATATTCTCCATACTTGCTATGATGCCTGGGCAGGTTTTCTTTCATAAAGTCCTTTATTAGCATACTGTTTTCTTTCTGCGCACAAGTGAAGTAGGCTATTCTAAGGACACAGCAAGACATAAAAAAACATTATTTTCTCTAATGTTCCTAGGAGAAAAAAACCCAAAACACTTACCTTCACTTCTTAGTCAGGGTGAGGCCCTGAGTAGCAAGCAGTCTTAACCATACAGATCATGGGCACTCTCCAACCTGAGGGAGAGTACTTCACAGCAAGGGCCCCCCAGAGGACATGGGAAGGAGTCTACATAGTGTTGGCCCAGCAACTACTTGCCCTGGCTTCTGTCCTGCAGCTGTTTCTTTGAGGGAGATGTGACAACTGTAGTCTTCATCATTGGCTGGAAGAAAATCTCGTTGTTTATGAAAATAAAGGCTAAGATAAAAGGCTGTTACCCAAGGTGACCTATTTCTCACCTAGCCCAGTGATCAGAGGGTGGGATGGAACATCCCAACCTTCCACGGAACATTTCAACTCACAGAATTTCTGCCCTGCAAATGCCACCTGTCTGCCCCCTTGTCCACTAACTATTATCTCCAATTCTGATATACTGGCCACGGGGGGTGTGGGTGGGTCTCACCAAGTGATTTGGATTTGCTGAGCCTCCCTTGTCATACCCACAACCTTTGTTTTGAGAACTCCTGATCGGATTTTTTGTGTTTTTTTTTTTTTTTTCTACTGGATGTTCTTTCTACTGACCTATATTTGCCTGATCATTTTAAGATGGGCAGCAGTTTTCTACAACGTCCCCCCTCCCTCGCATCTGATATAAGTCATACCATCTATCATGTGGCACAAGCTCTCCTGCATCTAGATAAAGTGGATTTGCAAAGACACCACTCTGGCAGAAAAGAAGAGCCAAGGACCTAAACAATGTTCTAAATATGTTTTCTTTATT